TACCATTATTTGCTGTCGTTCAGATGCTTTTTCAATTCCTTGTCTTCTATTAAGTGAGTGAAATGTCTACAACAATCGTATATGGCTAGATGTTTTCTATCATAGGTCGAGTATCGCTGCTCAGTAGTTGTTAGTTTGCGACAGTGGAAGCGATTTATTATTAATTATTTGGTGTACAACACCACTGATTGCCCTATTACTGGCATCTGCAGTAAGTGTTAGTTTGGCTGATTAATGTGGGTGTGCTAAGTGTGTTAACTTTTCCAATAATTCTATACATGTGTAAAATGCTTCTTTTGCTTCAGATGTCCAATTTATGACTCGCGTAACACTTTTCTTGTTATCTGGAATCAGCTCATTCAGATGTAGTTGGTGATGTGCAAGCTGTGGTATAAAACGACTATAGAAGTTAATCATACCAAAAAATCGCCGTAGATCTTTTATTTGATTGGGTATAGGCAATTCTCATATACTTTTGATTTTTTCTGGATCAGATATGGTTCCTTCTATTGAAATTTGATGTCCTAAAAAGGTTATTGATTCTTGTCCAAAACTGTATTTTTCTAGGTTGATTTTAATACCATGTTGGGCAAGTGTTTTTTGTAATATTATATTATTACATATAATATTAATATATAATAAGATGTTATCATTTGTTCATGTATGTCACATATTATGATTATACAAGATCACCAAAACAGGGTTCTCTTATTTAAAATACAAAATAACCCTTTAACTATACGATAAAATCTCCCTCTTGTAGAAATTATTAAGTAACGCCTACACGCTGGGACCCCATTTTAATTAACCAATTAGAATACAAAGCCTCAGCTTCTAGGATCACGGTAGAGATCGCTGGGCTACCCCCTTCACACTATAAAAAGCCATTTTTCCCCATCTAAACCAGTTCTTTTGACGATTTTAAAATACACAAAATCTACGACACTCTACTCAAGATTTCACTCTCCGGGACTTAGTCGATTTTTTAATTAATTTGGACTTAGAATATTTTTCTTTAAAACTAAATGACACTTAGAAATTTTAAAGTGAATTTTGTTTTGGTGAATCTTTTAATTTAATTTAATTTGTTCAATCATTAATAATATTTTATTTTTCTTGTTATGAAAATAAACATCAAATAATATTTTAAACATTATATTTTTTTTAAATTATTTTATTTTAACAATAAATCCAACTTAAATTTAGATATTCATTTAATAATAAAAATTTATTGTGAGCTTTTCTTATTGGGTAGCTAGTCTCGTTGCTAATGTCTTTGTTTTAACAAACATCGCGCCGGCAGACAGAGTAAAGGTTGCAACTAGACATTGTTCTAGAATTAGGTATATTAGGTTAGAATATATTTGTAAGCCTATGCGTATTGGGTAGCTAGTCTCGTTGCTAATGTCTTTGTTTTAATAAACATCGCGCCGGCAGACAACGTAGAGAAACTTACGAATATATTTGCAGTGTTTAATTTTTGTCTTGGTTATTATTGTGCCGCATCCTTTCAAGGTGCTTTATTTTAGCACCGGGACACATTGGGCCACCACAATTCTGCCTTGATAAATTTTTTACATAGATATAGATATTTCTGAATCTTGTTTTGGCCAGGCCAGAGGAAAATTTAAGAAATATTGGTATCGATCTCTCAATAAAAAAAATTATACTCTCTAAAAAAAAATACTTATTCAATAAACGTAAAAAAATCAACAAGTTAAAAAAAAATTAAAATTGTATTTATAATAAAATACAGAGTGTTAAGAATCAATCACAAGTAAGACCAGTTGTAGACTTTGTGTAATTAAATCATCTTATGTAAAGTCTTGAGTCGTTTTTTGTAAGCAATTATATAGACTATATTACATATAGTGTAAATCGTATACGTAGTGCGTTTAATACGGAAATCAACACTGGATTACTTAAAATATTATTGTATCACACAGGACGTAAGGTAAGTACAATTTAACCTATGCTTTCGAACTTCCAACAATCTATTGCGTGATAAACCATTAATAATTAATGAGAGAAACAATTAATGAGAAAATTAATTTAAATAAAATTGAAGACAATTAAATCTACATTAAAANAGAAAATTAATTTAAATAAAATTGCAGACAATTAAATCTACATTAAAATTATAAAAATTATAACAAATAATGATTACAATAATCTACTAAGCAAACCCTTCTTTTCCTTTTTATATTCTCTCTAATTTTCTATCACCTTCTTTTTATTTTCTTTCTTTTTATTTTTGGTTTATTACATTTTAGTACTGTGTTTATATGTTCCTTTTTGGATTCTGAAAAAATGAATATGTCATCTATGTACGCTACTGTAAACGGTAAATCTCGGATTATTTCGTTTATAAACCTCTAGACGTTTGTGCGCTGTTTCTTAGTCCATATGGCATTTTTAAAAATTCAAAGCTGCCAAATTGAGGTCATAGAAATGTCTTCTTTAGCCATTTTTATTTGATTGAAAGCTTTTTTCAAGTCCAGTCTTGAGAAAATTGTTTTGTTATGAAGTTAGATGTTTACATCATGTATGTGCGGTAAAGGATATCGATCTGGGACAGTTACTCTGTTAAGTGCCCTATAGTCTCCACAGGGTCTCCATTGACCATTTCGTTTTTTACCATGACAAGTGGGCTGCTCCAAGGGGAATTTGATGGGCGGCAATTGCTTTCTTCACACATTTTTTTGAATTCTTGTTTAGCTATTTGTAATTTTTTGGTGATAGCCTTCGTGCTTTGGCTAATATTGGCGGTCCGGTTGTTTGAATGAAATGGACAGTTGAGTGTTTTGATTCTTTTTGATAAGCTGAATTGATGACTTCAGAGTATTTTTTTAATATGTCTGAATAGGTTGAGTTGTGTTCGATTAATGAAATACCCAGTATATTGTCTGCCTTGAGCAGGGTAACTAGTGGTATTGTTAAATATATAACACCATCTTTAAGAAGTTGTTTGCGTTTAAGGTTCATTTGCAAGTTGAATTTTGCTAAGAAATCCGCTCCTAGAATACAACGAGTTACATCTGCAATTATAAATGTATAGCGAAATTGTCTACGAAGTCCTAGATCTAAAACCATTGTTCGTTCTCCGTAGGTCCTTATAATTTAATTGTTTGCAGTGTAAAGTACTCGAGTTGAAATGTTAGATTTGTATAAGTTGTTAGGTTTTATTATTGAAACTTCAGCTCCACTGTCAACTAAAAATTTTTGATTAGATTTTTTGTCTAGGATTTCTAAGCATTGTGAGTCCCTCCGTGTCTCGATTGTAGGCACGAAGGGCATTTTTAGTTTTCCGTTTTGATTGCCGATTCTGTAGTCCATTTACATGGTTTAACACATTTTTTTGCCTTACCGCGAAATTTCTAAAGAAAATAATATAATGGTCCTTCTGTGTTGTAACGTGATCGAGATTTTGAACGTGAGTGGTTCCGCCGTGTATTTCTTGAATAGGTTTGTCCTCGCTGTAATTGAAGTTGCTTAATTTGTTGTTGGAGGTCCGCTAGTTTATTTTCTATATTATCTGGTTTGTGTTGTTCTTGTATCTGGTTCACTGTGTTTATAGAGACATCAACTACTCGGTCGGCCATTTCTGCAAGTTCGTCGACAGTTGCTGTTTTTGGAGCTACTGCTAGTACTATTTGGGCTTGTTTAGTTAAACGTTGTAACTACATTTGTTTTATTAAGTGAGAAGGACAATTTTGTCCGGCTAATGATTTGATTTTTAACAACATCAATGAAGGTTTTTCGTCGCCTAATGAAATTCCGGTAATTAATTCGCGAAATTTTTCTTTATCAGTTGTACCATATGTGTTGATGAGCCTATCTTTTAAATTTTGATAACAGTTTTCGGTATTGTCGAAGTCTAAAATGTCACTTACTTTTCCTATTATGTCTTCATCTAGCATGTCAAATTTTGTTTGAAACTTACTTATGTATGATAGTCTAAATTGAGCTTCGGCTCTTTTGAACCATGCAGCTGGGTCACATTTCCAAAATGATGGCAGCTTTACGCCAACTATATTGATATTATCTGCTGTTTCTGGTGTTGTCTTGTCTACCATTTTTCCTTTGTCGAGGTCACCAATTTTCAGTGCTTCACTTATTGATTTAAAATAAATAAAAACACTAATTTATATAACAGAAAAAAAGTAGACGGTTTATTTTTTAAACACTAAGAAAATTTATATAAAAATTATATTAATGCATTACGTGTATTTAACTACTTAACCGATTAACTGACGACTGGCTAACTAACTGATTGACGTTATTGTTACGTCACGCTGTTTTATATTGTGTTGAGTTCTAGAAGATTCTCTTACGGAGCGATCGAGAACGTTCGGGCTATATGCATTTTGTGTTGCCTATCCGTCGCGAAGAATCTCGGTCATTCCATAGTCATTACATTAACAAATTAGACGAAATGAACATTCATCAATATATTCCAGCGATTATCGTCATCGTCGTTAGTGGCCTAAGTGTAGGTGTCGGCGGCGGCGGGCGTGTAACAATATATGCGATGCGGCAATGTACTCGAAGGTAGATGAAGTAAGTTTTTGCGTAGGGGGTGAGGCACACATCAAACACACGAACTCGATGCACTATACGCACGTTCAAGGGTTAACACATACCTACCTCAGAAAATTTATTTTTATTTTTCCGCATAATTGAGGCGCGTGACAAGTTATGTCAGTTTACTTCGTGTTTCATCCCTCACCACTCTCTCATAAGACTTGGTGGTGAAGAAGAAATTCTTCACAAGCCTTAGGTTAATTTACGTCGGGTTTCGTCGTCGTTCAACCTCCCGTTGCATTATGTTAGTTTACATTGGATTTACTTCTCCCTCCACGCCATTTCACCATCGAAAGGTAGGTGGAAGGTTGGGTGAAGTTATTATTGAGACACTTTGTAATAAGAATAACTTTTCTATGTTATATTTAGATTAATAAGTATATTAATAAAATATAAACTGTAACAATTTACTATCGGTATGTAACAACGTATCCCACATTGGGGAAAGTAATTACATTTTAATTGTCTAAAGTATACATATTTTTTTAGTCATTAAAATTTATTTATATGAAATTTGTGATATACATAGTACTTTTTAAATAATAATTTATAAATTAAATTAAATCACAACAACACAGTTATACAAAAAATAAACATAACTCATGATGGTAACATACTAACATCCTTAGCAGACAAGACAGAAGTCTTAGTCTCACAATTATCCTACGATAATAAGAACTACTATAATAATTAACTATAATAAGAAAGTTACAAAAATTAATTTAGGATATAAAATTTAGAAGAAAACAACATAATTATAATTAATTTTTTTTTTTTATGAAACACATCAAAAACTCATTTTGATTTTTTTTAGTTTCAACTAAAGATTATTCAGTTACTGAAGAGAAATAAAATAAATAAGTCATTTAAATAAATCAATATCATCATGATTATCTTCTTCTTGCAATTGAGTAGAAGCAACAGAAGGATCTTCAAAATACTCTAAAAATATACAAATCATTATTTCCTTATTAACATATAATATTTCATAATTCATTAATTATGGAAAAATGACATTTATTAATAGCTGAATAACACAAGAAAGATAATGTATTCCTAGTGTTTCATTTGCATTAGTAAATTATATAAATTTTTTTATTTTTTTATTTTTATTAGTATTTTTTGTTCATAATTATTTTAAACTTATTTTAAAAATTATTTTTAACTTTTTAGTTCGATGTGCTTTAAAAGCGTGTTTTTTAGTTTTTTTAAACTATATTTATTAACATATAATATTCCTTAGTTCTAAATGTATGGATAAATGAAGAGTGAATGTGTCAAACGTTCTATGTGCCAAAAAAATATTTGTTCAGAAAACACAAAAAACATCACAAATTAAAAATTTTCTTATAATTTTGTATAAAAATATATGTTATGCTATATTTACACTATATTAATAGCCTCGTAAATTTCTATTATTTTATTTTGTCATTTCATATTAGTATAAATTAAACATTTGCTAATGACAGTTCCAAGTGCCAAGTATTATAATATTAAAGTTCCAAGTTTCAAATAATGTGATAATATTATCGTTCCAAGTACCAATATTTTATTATAGATAACAGAAAATCATTCTTTATTTTATTAAGACTTCATATATATTTTTATAAAATATGTAAAAAAATCAACACTTTTTTTGAGTATCACAAATTGAAAAATAAATGTACAAACTTAAATAAAAAATACTCTTAAACTAACATGACATTATCAGTAAATCTCAAAACGTAAAATAAAATTTTTTCTTCATATAAAAATGTAACAAGAAAAGAAAACAGTAGCTTTCTTGAGTATCACAAATTGAAAAATAAATTAACAAACCTAATAATAATTTAAAAAAAAATCTAGATTAAACATAATTAGAACATAGCAACATCATAATAAATAGCAAAAAAAATTAATTCATGACGTTATATTTTTATAGAAGTTTCTGTGCTTATCAGGTAAAAAAGGAATCATGGCCAACAAATCTTTTTTCTTCTCTGACGACAATGTGGGTTTCGGTATAGGTATAAATGTCTGATTTTTAAGTTGGTCTATAGTAGCATTTCTTTTAAAAACGTTAAAATCTTTTCAAAGTTCTTCATCTGAAAATGTTTTTTTATAATAGATTTTTTTGGGAGTTAAAAATGAAACTTTAATCATCGAACATTGGAAACTTGGTTGTGTTAAAAAAATTGTTAGCAATGTCTTTAAATGAAAAAAAGTTGTTTTCGTCCATCGGAATAACTCGAAATGGATTTATCAACTTCGCTGCTCTAACCATTTCTTGTAAATCAGAAGGAGTGAAATTTTGAAAAACTCTACGTCTCTTTTTGATAATAGCGAAATCACGAGCACAAGCCAAGAGAGAGTGGCCACTTATCAAAAATTTTTGTATAATCTCATCAAATATCCCCATATTTATTAAATATAACATCAAAACTACTAACGTTTTATTTTTATTTTGGCCAGCACAGTTGTCTGACCATATAATTAGTTTTTTGCGATTTATCGTATTTTCGTTTTTGTTAATAACTTGAAAAAGAAAAGAAGCGATTTCTGAGCTTCCACGAGAAGCAATACTTTCATCCCACATATACATAAAGGCTGTATTGCTGTCACCGAGATGTATTCCAAAGTTATAACAACTAAGTTGACGCTTTCCTGAATTGTATTATTGCTTTTCCTGGTCGCATACGATTTTCCACTAATTCTTTTTTTAGTCTGATCATTTCTTCTTTTTTTACCACTTCGTAAAATATGTATACTTTCAGTATCCATAATAACACAATTAAACAAATGAAAAAGAAAACTTAACGAATACAACAACACCAGTATTAGTTATTTTGAAATATAACGGACTATATTATAATATTGTAATCGTCAAACTATTATATTCGCCCAAGGCACTTAGAACGTACAGGTAACAAAGGGCATGTCTCACAGAACAAATACAATCTATGAACGCAATTTTGTACAAGTAAAAAATTTAATTGACACTTGAAACACATACAAGATTGTGACCTTTGGCTCATAGAACATAAATCAGAAATAAAACAATTTTTCAATTTTTTGGCACATAGAACGTTTGACACATTCACTCTTCAAATAATAATGGTTAATCGTCAAGCGCATAAATTCAGTAGTAATACTTAAAAACGTTTCAAAAATAAAAAAGCCTTTTTTATAAATATTTAATTATTATAAAATAAAATATAATTAATCAGAACTAACATTTTAACTATATATGAATTATCCAAGGATAATACCTTCATATCTTTTTTCATTCAGCACTTGAGTAGAAAGGATTGTCGGTTCTTCAAAATATTCTGCAAAATTAATAATTAAATTTTTTAAACCTAAGATATTTCTAAATTATTAACTAATGTGAATAATTGAAATGCAAAATCTGTATGATAGTGTTCTTTTATTAACACGCTTATATTAGTTTCACCTGTATGTATGTATGTATGTATGTTTGTAACTCTCAAAACGCCACGCGTTATCGCATATTCCGTCGTCTAGACTAGACTGTCATAACGCATTCACCCCACCCCACGCCTCGCTCATCCTACGCCGGCAATACTATTCCTGTATAAATTTATTTTTGGTTATCGTACCCGTACACACGTGCGTGTCATCAATATTATATATATATAATTTTTTATTTTGACTGACCATTATCATCCGCATGCATACGGTTTACGTATACAGGGTGTTCAGTAAGTCAGGANGAGTCTGCTGCTTTCCTTGGATGTGGGAGCCGATTCTCAGACTCCCTCCCCGGAATCGAACCCTGAATTCCCGTTACCTGTTACAACCATGATATTGATAGTAACTACTATCATAACATGAAACTAAAAAGTGAAAAATAAATATAGTTTTTTTAAACTATATTTATTTCATAAGGACTCTAAAAATGTATCATTGTAAAGAGGCTTAAACAATAAGCGTTTAATCGCATGCGTACGCGTTTGAAAAATACGGAGATTAATCTCTTGATATTAGTTCCACAACTTAGGTATGTGGACTTTGGAGAGTGATACAACAGAACATGGTAAAATATTAAAAGAGATAGACCAGGGCTTTTTGGAATACCCCTTGGACTATATCAAACCGGTTCTTAAGAATAACATTCCCTACAAAGTGGAGATCACTATACGTAGAGAATGGAATACTAACCACCTGACTGAAAAAGGAGGATTTAAAAAATATTTTTAACTTATTAGTTCGATGTGCTTTAAATGCGTTTTTTAGTTTTTTTAAACTATATTTATTGTGTTAAAATTCTGGGTTTTGTATTTTATTTTAATTTAAAATAACTGACAAGAGGAGTACACAGATTTTCATAAATATTTTATAAATAAAATTGATATAGCATACTTTTTTCTTTAAAATGCTATAAGTTTTTAAAAAATTTATGGATAAATACAATTTTTCATGAGAAGTAGTATTTATATACCTCTTTCAATTGACATTCTTTTTTTTTAAATCGAACCATTTCCCTTTATACAATGGGGGTCAAAACTTTAAACATGCGTATTTAAATTAGGACATTTTCAATTTAATTTTTGAAAGTACTCCGAAAATACTGACACTTTTATACATATTTTAAATAAAAGCTAATGTAATATACTTATTAATATAAATTATTAACTAATGTGAATAATTGAAATGAAACATCTGTATGATAGTGTTCTTTTATAATTTGATAATTATTTACAATTATCTTCAGTTGTTATTGAAGAAAGACAAACAAAAAATTTTATAAATTTTAAAAAAAATGTCAGTCTATGAATAGCTATAAATTTTAAATATTAATAAAGAAATAATCTCAGGATAAAATTTACAATAGGAAATAAAATAAAAGATATTTACCTCTTTCTAATAATTCTGGTTTATCTGGTATAACTGTTTTATTCATAGTTAAGTTGAATTCAAAACCTAAATTAACATATTTTTCTTGAATAGCCCTTTGAGAAATAGTTATAATTTTAAATCTGAGAAAATTATAAAACTTGATATTATTTCCATTTAATTGCATATTGTAATATTCGTTATTCAAATTACGCCAAAATGAAGTCAGACTTTCAGAATTAATGTTGCAAATAATCATGCCTTTATTTAGTTCCTCATTCCATTCACTAATGAAACGTAATACTTCCAATAATGTTTCATCAAAATTCGATTGATGTACTTGTAAATCAGGTAACAATTTTAAAATTTTTTCATCTTGAAGATCCTTAATTAATGTGTTGGAAATAAATTTTTTTATATCATCATTTTTCACTGAAATTTTAAGGGTTTCATCTAAAGCATTTAATGCGCCTCCCAAATGTTTTACTAACAATGTTATAAAAGGTATAGTTTTTAAAAGTTCAATAGTGCATTCATACTTATAATTGTTTAAATTTTCTAAATGACTTGAATAATGTTTACAGTGATGTTGAAAATTACTTAATATAAAGAAAATATTCTTTAAAATGTTGGCGTATGAACATCCAAGAAACACCGTTAAACAACGTGTTTGTTTATCATATCTATATTTGTTATACATTATATCTTGTAATGTATGTTGACGTTTCGAATATGTGATGTAGTTCACGTCAGTCATATTTTTCCAACCGCTGTGTTTGCATAAATAACTAATTTTACTGGAAGCATGATTCTGTGAATTCAATTTTACTTCTATGTGCAATACATGAAAATATAATTAATGTATTTAAAAAATGTTTAATAATAAAAGTTGTTGATCAATTGTTTCTTATATTATTCAAAATTAATTAAAAAAAAAATTAAAAGTACTATAGATATATTCAATTTATTTCTATAATATTAATATTTTCAACTTACATTATAAAAATATATGAATTGGGCGAATTATTTTAATGGTTGCACGCCATAATATGACATTTATCCAATATATTAGTAAATATTATTGCTTAAAGGGCTTGATGCAATAAAAAATGTTTATTACTTAAAACAAAGTTATAAGTTTTATACACTGGACTACAAAGAACTTTCATCAAAAACAAAAATATACTTTTCTAAACTTTTCGCGATGTTTTCAAATGTGCAATTAGACTTTTTCTATCATTTTTAAGTTTTAATATAATTACTTATTATTAAAAAATAAGTATTTAAACATAAAAAAATTATTACGAACAAAAAAAAAATTGTTTTAAATTCATACTGATTTTGACTAATAATATGTTAAAAATAAGGAAAATGACGTATTTAACCTATTTTTTTAATCCTTTAAGGTTGATTTTTGTGAATTTTTATAATAAAAATAATTCATTTATTACCATAAATTTTAGCTCAATTTGCAAGTTTAAAATTGACATTATTAAATAGAAAATTTTATAAGAATTAAAAAAATTGTACCGTTAAGATTAATATACAGTTAGAAAATTTTATAATTACTATTTATCAGAAAAGCTCAATTGTTTTTTTATATTTTCATTGTTATAAATCACTTAAATAGACATCATAGTAATCATTTCAGACTAACTTTTGGCGTTTAAAAAAATTCTACAATTAAAATATTTAGAACTTAATTAATTTTAATGATTTACTTTAACTAAAAATCAATGAAAAAAAAAACCCAGCACAGGGGGGTCGCGGCACAGTGGTGACGTGGCATAGTTGGATTAAGTATAATGATATCTGATAGTGTTTTTTTAACTACGGCAGCCGTTTAAATGTAGAAGAAAAAGTGTCGGGACAAATTTTTTTTTTCATTTTATAGTACATAAAATAAGCTTTAATTTGATATATGTTTAAAGGACGCAGTATTTCCGGAACATTTTCAAAAATTAAGTTGAAAAAGTTAGTTCTTGTAAAAAAGTTTAAAAAAAATTTTAAATCCCCCCCAATGAGCAGGTTAAGTGTTAGATTTTCAAAAAAATGATATCAAATAAAAGGGAAATATCTAAGGTTTTAGTATAAAAAAAAATTATGTTGATTTGTTTATTTTTGAAAAAGTTTATAATGCTATAACTTATTGAAAAGTGTATGGATCAACACAATATTTTTATGAAAAATAATATTTTAGCTTCGATGCGAAGCTGAGAAGGTATTATTTTTAACATGATGTGTTTATTTATTTATTTTTTTTTTTGTTTCTGTTACTACTTTTTCTCAGCTCTCACTGGACCGATTTCTTTCAATAATACGTCTAAAGATCACAAATCGTATCTAGTTGAAGACATTACCCTTAAAAATTGAAAAATTTTCCCTCGTTCCCCGCAAATGGGGGAAATATCCAAAAAAATTACAAATTTANTCGTTCCCCGCAAATGGGGGAAATATCCAAAATAATTACAAATTTAGTAAATTTTGTCAGTTTTTTCACTTTTTTTTCTTAAAACTTCCATAACTTTTTCAAAAATCAACAAATCAACATAATATTTTTTTATACTAAAACCTTAGATATTTACCTTTCATTTGATATCATTTTTTTGAAAATTTAACACTTAACCTGCTCATGGGGGGGGATTTAAAATTGCAACTNTGACTTAACCTGCTCATTAGGGGGGATTTACAATAGCAACTTTTTTACAAAAATTAACTTTTTCAACTTAATTTTTGAAAATGTTCCGGAAATACTGCGTCCTTTAAACATATATCATATCAAAGGTTATGTTATATACTATCAAATGAAAAAAAAAAATTTGTCCCGACATCTTATCTTCTATGTGCAAATGGCTGTCGAAAATTAAAAAAAAATTAGCATTTATCGGGATGTTTTTTGTACTTAAAACTGTATTCAAAAATATGCTATTTTAACAAATTTTTTTTTTTAATTAAACACTATCTACAGATTTGCATCGAAGCGTTTCTTATGATAGTGATTTTAATCACTGTCAGATTAAATCTATACTGGACCCAACTATGCAATGTCTCCACTATGCCGCGACCCCACTGTGCTACCGTTATTAGCTTCGATGCGAAGCGGAGAAGGTATTAATTTTACTATGATGTGTTTTTTTTTACCATAATAAAGTATATTACATTAGCTTTAATTTAAGATATATATAAAAGTGTCTTTCCGGAACATTTTCAAAGACAAGTCCAGTGGCCAAATTTTTTTTTTCCATAATAAAGTACATTACATACATACAAATCTTTAATATAAGATACATAAAAAGGTATCAGACCTTCCGGAACACTTTAAAAAGTTAAGTTGAAAAAGTAAATTTTTTGTGAAAAAGTTGTCATTTTAAATCCCCCCTGGGGGCAGGTTAAGTGTCAGATTTACAAAAATTATATGCTAAATGATAGGTAAAGACATCAAGTATCTATAAAAAAAAAAATTTAGTGATCCATACATTTTCCGAAAAGTTATAGCATTATTAAGTTAAAAATATAAAAAAAAATTATTTTACAAAAATCGTAATTTTTTATGAACTTTGATGTCTATTTTCACCACGAAGACAAGTCAATAAAGTACATTACATTTGCTTTAATTTAAGATATATATAAAAGTGTCAGACCTTTCGGAACATTTTCAAAGACAAGTCCAGTGGCCAAATTTTTTTTTCCATAATAAAGTACATTACATACATACAAATCTTTAATATAAGATACATAAAAAAGTATCAGACCTTCCGGAACACTTTAAAAAGTTAAGTTGAAAAAGTAAATTTTTTTGTAAAAAAGTTGTCATTTTAAATCCCTCCCTATGGGCAGGTTAAGTGTAAAATTTACAAAAAATATATACCAAATGATAGATAAAGATATCAAGCATCTATATAAAAAAAATTTATATTGATATGTTCATTTTTGAAAAATTCACGGCAGTTTTTAGTAAAAAAAATTGAAAAAATTTCGAAAATTAGCGATTTTTAAATTTGTAATTTTTTTGGAAGTTTCCTCCAAATACGGAGAACGAAGGAAATTTATTTAATTTTTGAGGGTAATTTCTTCGACTTGGTACGATTTGTGATCTTTTGACGTATCGTTGAAAGAAATCCGTTCGGTGAGAGCTGAGAAAAAGTGGTAAGACACAAAAAAAAAAA